CCCACTACCGACAGGCTGGATGAGTCCACCAGCTGCTGACTGAGAGCCTCGATCCATTCAGTCACTTCATCCAGAGTCCCAGAAATAAATCTGTAATTTTTGTGCTGCAGTAGTCCTGCCTTGGGTTCACTGTGTGAAACCTAACATAAGATCAACTTTATTAATCCTACAGTGGGGAAAGTTCACCGGTACAACAGCTCCAAAAAAAAAAAGAAAAAGTAAAAAGTGTAAAGTCAGTTCAAGAATAATTTAGAAACACAGTGAAAAATTTGTAAGAGAAAACATTATATACAGAAGAGGGTTTTTAATAAGACTACAATTGCCCCTCAAATGTATTCATACCCTTCCATTAAAGAAAAGGCAAAATTCACAATAGTCCCTCAAATCACTAGAAACTGAAAAAAGTAATAATAAATAAAAAAATTTGCTAAATTATGATTAGACATTGCTTTTGAATTGTGGTTGAAAAGAATAATAAAAAAATAATAATAATAAAAAAATGTCCCAAACAAATTAGAGTACTTTGCTGATGAGCAGTGGGCCAAAATCCAAATACCTGTCAACAGGTGCAGAAGTCTGATTGAGAGTTACAGAAAACACCTGATTGCAGTGATTGGCTCAAAGGGTTGTTCAACAAAATATTACTTTATGGGTCCCATCAGGCTTGTTTTTTTTGTTTGTTTGTTTGTTTTAATATTTCTTTTGAACCACAATTCAAAAGCAATGTCATGATTTTCATAAATTAAAAAAAAAAATTATTATTACTTTTGTCAATTTCAACTTATTTCAGTGACAGCTGTTGTTTTCCTTCCTTAATGGGAGGATATGAATACATTTGAGGACGACTGTATAGACACAAGGATGAGGTAGTAACAGTTATAGCACATGAGTGGAATGTAGGAGGGAAAAGTGCAGCGCTAACAGAGGTAGACCAGTGACGTTTGTATTGCAGCATTGGACCTGCGGAAACGCTCCTTCTTCCACTTAGGGCGTAGCAGTGTGTCGCTGAATGCGCTGCTTGAAGAGTTCACAGTCTGATGCAGAGGGTGGGAGGTGTTTCCTATGATAACGGACAGTTTGGCCAGTGCCCTCCTCTCTCCCACCACCTCAGTGGAGGCCAGGGGGCAGCCACAGACTGAGCTGGCAGCTCCCTGTGAGCACAGTGTCAGCTGGACTGTTGCAGGTACTGCACTCCTACACTGCAAACAGTC